TATGCACGCTAAGTGAAAAAAGCCGGGCTCGTGCAGCTCCATCCACACTGGGTGAATCCATGTATATGACATGCTGAGTCAGAAAACTGGTCCGCGTTTGCAGAGATGGGAGGAAGGATTATTCCGAGGGGCCTGAGGGAATTTATGGGGAGTGACGGAACTGTTTGGTATTCTGATTGTGGTGGGGGATACATGACTGTATGTGTGCGTGTGTCAAAAAGTATAGAAGTAGGCCGGGTGCAGTGGCTCACACCTGTAATCTCAGCACTTTGGGAGGCTGAGGCAGGCAGATCACCTGAAGTCAAGAGTTCGAGAACAGCCTGGTCAACATGGTGAGACCCCCGTCTCTACTAAACATAGAAAAATAAACTGGGAGTGATGGTGGGTGCCTTTAATTTTAGCTACGCAAGGGGCTGAGACAGGAGTATTGCTTGGACCCGGGAGGTGGAGGTTGCAGTGAGCTAAGATCAAGCCACTTCACTATAGCCTGGGCAAGAGAGCAAGACTCTGGTCAAAAAAAAAAAAAAAAAAAAATCATAGAACTGTACACTGAAGAGGGTGAATCTTACTGTGTGGTAAATTGTGCCAGGCAGAGGAAACAGCCCGTGCAAAGGGCACAGAGGTTTGAAATTGGGCTTGAGATGGTGCATGGGGGCAAGCGGCAGGAAGTGAGGCAGGGAAAACTTACCTGGGTCCGTTTGTGTTGGGCCTTGAATGCCGTGTCAATGCTGCTTTGGATTGTGGGAAAATGTTGAGAGTTTTTAAGCAGTTGAGGAATATAAGTGGATATTTGCTTCAGAGAGACGATTCTGTTCTATGTTTAGAAGCAGAAGCCAGGCCGGGCGCAGTGGCTCATGCCTGTAATCCCAGCACTTTAGGAGGCCAGGATGGGTGGATCACCTGAGGTTAGGAGTTCAAGACCAGCCTGGCCAACATGGTGAAACCCTGTCTCTACTAATAATACAAAAATTAACTGAGCGTGGTGGCGGGCACTTGTAATCCCAGCTACTTGGGAGGCTGAGGCAGGAGAATCGTTTGAACCTGGGAGGCAGAAGTTGCAGTGAGCCTAGATCATACCACTTCACTCCAGCCTGGGCAACAGAGTGAGACTTTGTCCCCTCCCAAAAAAGCAGAAGCTTTTGGGCACATGGGCCTGACCCTGCCCTTAGAAATGTTTCTATTTGTGTTATAATTTTTTTTGGAAGAGTTTGAATTTGTGCCCAGTGTTTTAGCACCAGGAGATCGTACTCAGAGTTCTGGATTTTCAGTCTCTCTAGATAAGACACCGGCTTCCTGTTTGCCCCCTCCACTCCCTCCCTCAGATTCTATTCCCTTCCTGGCCCTGTAGCGGTGTCGGTTTCGATCCCCAGGATTGAAAGTAGATTCCAGGAGGAAGAGATCAAGGTCAGTGGTATCTCTCAGTCCGGGTCTGAACACTTTCATCACCCGGGGAATTTGATTAAAGACCGATGCACAGGCTGAGTTGCTGGAGGAGGCTGTGCACGTGTACTTTGTAAATGTTCCCCTCCACCCCCGGTGACTCTGATGTACAGCCAGCATTGAGAACCACTGTTTCAGCGGGAGGCAAAGGTGAGCTAGGGGTCAGCAGTGGAGGTGGAGAGGTGGACTGAGGGGACATCAGGCTGAGACAGGGGGAGGAGGACTCAAGTGTGACGTCCCGGCTTGGACAAATGCAGCATGATGGTGCCATCTGCTGAGAAGGGACATGAAAGAGGCAGTCAGGTAGACGTGCTCATCTTGGTTTTGGCCGTGCTGTGTCTGAAGGGCCTGTGGCCTCCAGGCTGAGGGGGTCCGATGTGCAGGTGGCTAACACCGCTGTGCCCATAGCTTCCGTGTGCTCTACTTTCTCCTCTGAGATGAAGTTAGTGAAGGTTCTTAGGGGAGGGGAGGGCTATGCTGGGGGGAAATAAGGTGGCCAAGCTTCTCCCAGATCTGTCTGCAGAACACAGGGCTCCCTTGGTGTTATGGACTGAACTTTTGTGTCCCCATGAAATTCCTGTGTTGAAATCTATTCCCTCAAGGTGATGGTATGAACAGGTGGAGCCTTTGGGAGGTGATCAGGTCATGGGTGTAGAGCCCCTGTGAATGAGATTAGTGCCCTCACAAAAGAGACCCCAGAGAGCTCCCTCACCCCTCCACCATATGAGGTCACAGTGCAAAGATGGCTGTCTAGGAGCACAGCTGGGCCCTCAGCAGACACCGAATCCACTGGCACCTTGATCGTGGACTTCCCCGCCTCCAGAACTGTGAATGATGAATTTCTATTTGTAAGCCACCTAGTGTATAGTGTTTTGTTATGGTCACTCCACATGACTAAGGCTCTTTGGGTGGAGGTGGGAAGCCCTTCTCGTCTGCCCTGGGTCATGGGTGCTCAGGCCCTGCTGAGTGAGTTTGTCTGGAGAAAAGTGGGGGAGAAGGTTCTCAAAAGGGGTGCTTATACTTGAAGACACGTGGTGCCCTCACACCCAGAACCAGTAACTCCTTCCTGAAACCAAGACCCTCTGCCAAAACATCTCACCTCCCAGCAGACACAGTGGCTTTTTTTTCTTTGTTTTGGTCAAAAACTTTTTCTGTATATTAGCAGTGACTAGCCTTTCTGTGCTTGTGAGTGAAGCAAGACAGAAACCATTGTGCCCATTTTACCTATAAGAAAAATGATATACCATGGAGTACTATGCAGCCATAAAAAAGAATGAGATCATGCCCTTTGCAGGGGCATGGGTGGAGCTAGAGGCCATTATCCTTAGTCAACTAAGGCAGGAACAGAAAACCAAGTACTGCATGTTCTCACTTAGATGGGGGAGCTAAATGATGAGAACACATGGACACATAGAGGGGAACCACACACGCTGGGACCTTTCAGTGTGGAGGGTGGGGGCGGATCAGGAAGAATAACTAATGGATACTACAGTGAATGCCTGCGTCATGGAATCATCTGTATAACAACCCCCCGACACACATTTACCCACGTAACAAACCTGCACATCCTGCACCTGTCCCTGAACTTGAAAGTTAAAAAAGAAAAAGAAAAAAGAAAAGAAAAAGGAAAGAAATACGTTACTTTAGTACCTGTCCCTTGCTGGGTACTTGATATACATTTTCGTGGAATCCACTTAACCAGCCTATGGATGAAATAGGGGTTACTGTCCCCATTTTCCAGATGAGGAAACCGAAGCTCTGAAAGTTTAAGTATTTTGCCCAGATGGCCAGCTCAGCAGTGGCAGAGTCGGTAGCCACGCCCAGCTCTTGCCATGGTTCTTCAGTGTGTCTGTGGCCCACCCTCCTGTGAGCTCGGCCAGGAAAGCACACACAGACCCACACACGTGTGACCTCTCCAGACACATTTTATTATCTTTGTTGCCCCTCAGCTTTCCTTCTGGTACCTAGTGGATGTCTTCATGGTGGCCTCTGGCCTCTTTTCCTTTGTGGACAGACTCATTTCAATGTCTGTGAGGTCAGCCCGGGGAGGGGGTTTTGTGTCCCCAGTAAGAGGGGGCAGAGACTTTGGCCTTCCCATCCACCGAGGCGGTGCTCACGGAAGTCTCCAGAGCTTCCCCGTGGCAGCCGTTCCTGGCTGGGTTGGGCTCTGTCACCATGAAGCACTTGTCACGACATTGTCCTGCGATCGTAGTCACTGTCTCAGCTATCTGAACACAGGATGGCTCCTGGCCTCCTTTCTTGACATGAATGAGGCATCAGGAAGCCCTTGCTCCGGGGAAGATTCCGGACTGAAGCTGCCCAGAGTTGGTGCTCAAAAAAAAGACTGGCGTTCTTCAGGGCTGGAGCTCCCTTTACACAACCCTCTAATGTTCCCGTTAGACCTCCTCCCTGTGGACTGGTGGCATCCTTGGCCACTCCTGATGGCCCTTCCCTGGTGACAGTCACTTGGGCTGTGCTTCTAGGGGGAGCTCAGAGTCATGAAGGTGCTTCCTGAGCACCGTGGCTGCCTTAGCCCTTCTGCGGGCGGTGGCCGTGGTGGACAGCGTGTGGTGCAGAGCTTGGCCAGGACCGAGTTTCCCGTAGACATGGCTCCCAAGCATGACGCTCATGGCAGATGGTTCTTATATGGACATTCCCAACCACAGCCGCAGGTTGTTTCTTCTGAGCTCGTCGTGGTTGGTGTTGGTTGTAGACGGCGTTCATCATTTAGGATGGTTTCATCACTGAAGGTTCTAACTCGTGACAGTTCTTACTATCGTCAGCGTTTGCCATTGAGAACAGCTGTCGCCACTGATGAGTTTTGGTTTAGGCGGTCCCACCAGGATGCTGCTGACTACAGATGGTTTTGCCCTGGATGGATCTTGTTGAGATGGCTCGTCACTGAGGTTCACAGTCTTGATATCATTACCCCTTGCTGTTTTGACACACGTGGCCTCAGCATTGGTGAATCCTGACACTACAGTTCTTCTATCAATAGTGGCTCTCAGAATGGACAGTCTCCTCACTGACTGCATTCCCAGAATAGACAGGGGTCAGCATAGATCCTTCCTGCTACAGGTGGCCTGCCCGCTGACGCTTGTTGCTACAGATGGGACTGCCCATTGATGGTCCACACAGTCAGTGTGTGCTTTTGAAAAGACCTTTCCTACTTGTTTTGGGAATAACCACTCTGGGGGCAGCCTGGGTTCACGGGGTCATGTGCCGCTTTCCGAGAGGCCCTGGCTGCTGGAGAGGATGCTCACAGAGGCATGCACGCATGGGCAGGCTGCTCAACCTTGGTGACTTGCTCGCTGCTTTTTGTGTTGCCGCCCTTCTTGTCCTCCTGCACACTGGTGTGGCTGCTCTGCCCGTTTTGGGCACTGCCCTCCAGCCCAATGCTCTGACGGCTGCTGGCCTGGGTGGAGGGCAGGCTGGCCATGGAAGTCAGCAGCCCGCTGCTTACCTGGTAGGTGAGGGCACTGCTGCCCAAGCTGATGAAGCTGGTGCTGGACAGGCTGGCGCTGGACGGGCCGCCACTGCCGCTGCCCAGCAGGCTGGCCTCACTCTTGCCCTCCAGTCTGCTTGGTGCTGTGGGCGGGGCCAGTCAGCCGGCTCTTTAGACAGCTGGGAGAGTCTGTGGAGCCCAGCTGGCTCGTTTGGGTGCTGGGCGCGGGGTTGTTGAGCCTTCTGTTCAACCGCACCCTCCGGCGGCTGCCCACTAAGCTGATGTCACTGCCCTCCTTGTCCCCTGCGTACCCACTGCTCAGGCTGGCGTGGCTGCAGTCCTCCGGCCCGGGGTGCTGCACACTGGACACATGGCTCTCGCTGCTCTGGGTGAAGCTGAGGTTGCTGCTGGACACTTTCCGGGGCTCCTGAGCTGCTCCTGCACTGCGTGGCCACGCGGGGGGCCGGGGCTCTAAGCTGGGTGACTGTAGGCTTGGCTCTCCTTCCTGGGCATTCCGGACAGAGGATTCCCCTTTTTCTCCCTTGAGGAAAATGGGGGGCAGCTGAAGTGGTTTATCCAGGGGGAGGGGGCCTGGGAGGCCTCTGAATGTTGGCGGAGGCCCGTCTGGGGAGAGGTGACTCCGTATATAAGGCTGCCTTTTGAAAACTCTGTGTGCTGATTGGCTGGCTCAGTTCCATGGTGATGGGGCTTGTGAGGTGAAGGCGGGGGTGGGAGGGAGAACAATGCTGTCCTGTCACCAGTGACATCAGTGGCCTGGCCTGGAGGGTGGGAGTGGGGCACAAAGGGACTCATGGCCAGAGTGGGTGGGGATTACCCTCCCAGAAGCCTTTCTGAGGAGCCTGTGGCCAGACGTCAGGTCAGGGGCCTCAGGTGTGTGTCCCAGCTGAGCTCCCTATGAGCCGAGCTTCTTCTCTCCCGAGTCTCTGCCTGCTTGCTGAGTGTGTGTGTGTGTTTAAATATTTTTTGTTTGTTTGTTTTTGAGATGGAATCTTGCTCTGTCACCCAGGCTGGAGTACAATGGTGTGATCTTTTCTTTTTTTTGAGAAAGAGTCTCACTCTGTCACCAGGCGCCAGGTTGGAGTGCAATGGCGTGATCTTGGCTCACTGCAACCTCTGCCTCTTAGGTTCAAGCAATTCTCCTGCCTCAGCCTCCCAAGTAGCTGGGATTATAGGCGCCCACCACCACGCCTGACTAATTTTTGTATTTTTAGTAGAGATGGCATTTCATCATGTTGCCCAGGCTGGTCTTGAACTCCTGACCTCAAGCGTTATACCTGCCTCAGCCTCCCAAAGTGCTGGGATTACAGGCGTGAGCCACCACACCAGGCCTGCAGAGTGGTTTTGAGGACAGAAGGGAACAAAGCAGTCAGGAGTATAACCTCAATTCCTTGCCAGATCATCAAGGCTCTGGCCTGGTCCGGCCTTCCCGACCTCGTCACACGCCCTGCCCTGCCCCTTTCTTACCTCGGATTCCCGACCAGGCTGAGCACTCTTACTGCAAAAGGGACTTGTAGCCTGATGCACTGGACCCCAACACTATGAAACTGGGTTTCTGAAAAGAGCTTTTATTGCAAGTTGGCTCAGAAGGAGGCAGGTGTCAGCTCAAATCTCTCTCCCTGTGCTGGCTTTAAGGCAGTAATTTTATTAGAAAAGGTTTAGGGAGCGGATTCTGAGATTAGTAGGTGATTGGTGCAAGGGGAAGTAAGGGCTGGGAAGATCTGGGGCATGCGCAGTTATCTCTTCCTGCCTCCTCATGGGTCCCTTGTGCAAATCTGGGAGGAGTTAGTGTGAAACATGCAGTGGAAATTCAGGCTGTGACATCAGCGAGCTTGTCTTGCACTGACTCCATCGGCCATATTGGTTCCAGCTGATTTCAGCCAGTTTTAAGTGAAAGGAGTTTCAAGTTGTTTCTGTTTTTATTTGCCTTCCTGCAAATTCAAGAATTTCTGTTAGTGGCTTCTTTAGCTCTTTGGAGAGCACGGTTTTAATATTTCATGCTCTTACCTGCTGCAAGGGCCTTAGCACTGACTGTTTTCACCCCCAGTGTGCTTTCCCCTCTGGCATCCTTTTTTTTTTTTGAGTCAGAATCTCACTCTGTTGCCCAGGCTGGAGTGCAATGGCACAATCTCTGCTCACTGCAACCTCTGCCTCCCAGGTTCAAGTGATTCTTCTGCCTCCTGAATAGCTGGGATTACAGGCATGTGCCACCATGGCCAGCTAATTTTTGTATTTTTGGTAGAGATGGGGTTTCAGCACGTTGGCGAGGATAATCTTGAACTCCTGACCCCAGGTGATCCGCCCGCCTCAGCCTCCTAACGTGCTGGGATTACAGGCGTGACGCACCGCACTTGGCCCCCTCTGTCATTCTTTACACTGCTTCCTGGTTGATGTTCCTTGTGACATGAATGAATTATGTATTGGTTATTTATTGCCAGTTCCTCAGCCAGAATGTAAACTTAATGAGGGCAGAGACTCTGATTTCTTATTCTCTGCTCTGCCCCCAAGGCCCAGCACAGTGTCTGACACCTTGTAGATGCTCACTAGATGTTGATTAATGAATAAATGAACCACCCAGGGGTGTCCATCACCACCTAGGGAACTTCCAAAAAACATATTTGGATTTTCTTTTTTTTTCACTTGAAAACATTTTTCTTTTTTTGTGGCAATGGAGTCTTGCTATGTTGCCCAGTAATCCTCCTTGCCTTGGCCTCCCAAAGTGCTGGGATGGCAGGAGCCACTGCATCTGACCAAGATTTTCTAAGACAGTGGTTTTTGCCCTTGGCTACTTACTGGGTTCACCTGGGGATGCCTGGGTTCCAACCCCAGACATTCACCGTTAATTGGTCTAAGGTGAGGCTTTGGCAATGGAATTTTAAAAAGCTCTCCAGTTAATTCCAACGTGCAGTCAGCGTTGAAAATTGTGTTAGCTCGGACACAGGTGCTTTTCTTGTAGACGATTCCAAGTGTAACCTGATGAAGAAGTTAGCTGCAGATGAAAACGCTCAGTAAGCCACTTATTAGTAGACACAATACGTGTTTCTTGAGTGATGGAACGAATTAATATATTCATTGACCCCTAAAGAGTTCATGGGTGGATTTTTAAAACCTCGAGAAGTCATTGAAATTGTACACAAAATCTGCAATGAGCTAAACATATGCTTTCTTTCCCCGAGGGAGGGAGTCACAGCTTTCATAAACTTCCCGAGGGTAGCCATGATCCCCCAAAGATAAAGAAGCATAAAGATCTGGCACAACTCCTGCCTCAATGTTTGTGAGATGGATGATCCTGGTGCTTAGGGTGACCCTAAGAGGTCTGGAGAGGGCTGGCCTGCCCTGTTTGGGGTTCAAGGTGAAAGAAGGAGGGCGCTGCTCAGAGAGAGCATTATTACCATCACTGCTAATCGTCACTGCCATCATTGCCATGAATTCCTTTCCCATTGCCTGGGCAACTTGGCATCCCTTTGCTGTACACAGCAGCATCTTTTTTTCCTCGAAAATTGTGATCCCTTAGGGGTGAGTGGGTCATCATCTTGCTCTCTAACTTCCTATTGTAACTGTGTAACAGGAACAGGGCTGTAGGGGTGTTCCAAAGGCGCTCACTATTCCCCGACTGGATGTGTTTTCCCAGGTCCTTGGGCCTCACTCACCCAAGAATGGGGAGAGGGCCCTGGTGGCTCAGTGAGCTTGTTCAAGTAAGTATTGGACCCAGAGAGTTTTGCAGAAAAGAGATTTGTTAGGAAGAGAGAGAGAGAGAAAGAGAAATAGAGAGCGCGCCCATGCTGCCGTGGGAGTGGACTCAGAGATGGAGTCCACACAGGGAAAGAGAAAGAGAGAGAAGGCTCCCACGCTGCTGTGGGAGGGGATCCCAGAGAGGGAAATCAGTATAGGTAAGGGAGTATGGGGAATTTAAGCCCGGAGTTACTCCCACCCCATTTAAGTTCTCGTCCAGTGAGAGGACTCTTCCAAAGTTCCTCTGGAGGGAGTGATCTTTGACTCTGATATTGGATTGCTTGCCTGGCCCACAATTAAAGCCTCCTCCCCCAGGGCTTTTGGTGGGCTTTCTAAGCAAAGGAAACTCACTTGGGCTGTGTAATTTTCCCGCGCACAGGAAAGTTAGACAAAGAACTCCAGGCTCCTGGATGGGGAGGTGGATGGAGGTATGGTGCTGGGAAGTTCTTGCCTTTGAAACCACGCCCCTTGTGAGCCCCGGAGGAGAAGTTAACATAGTCCCTCACTGTCCCCAGCGCTATGCTCTCCATGGGGACTGGCAAGGAAGAGACAGGCACGGTGGCTTAACGGTGATGTTGAGTGAAGGGTATGGTGGGACCCAGCTGTTACAGGAAGCAGGGACAAGGCTGACCCTTTAGGGGGCTGGCAGGGGAGAGGCAGGAAGTTGGACACCAGGCAGGTAGGCTGGGAGTCAGGACTGACTCTGTCCCTGTGCAAAACCAGAACAGGGGAGATGCCCCAGCTGGGATTAATGGTGAGCGTCGGAACGCATCTTCCCTCTCCTTGTCTTCCACCTCACCTGCTCCGGGCACGTGACATTACGGGCCTGAGGACTGCAGTGGGCATTTGGGCTTGTTCAGGATAAATGGCAGATGCCACAATCATCAGAGTTCCCTTCCCATCTAGCACATCAAATGCCAGGTCCCTAGCCTGTGGATACAGTGAGGCCTCATAAACAGCCATGGCTCAGCTTCTAATTACCTTTTACATCTCTGTGGTTACTCTGGGAGTGTTAGGGAAGGCATTTCGTGGAGCTTCTGTTGCTTGATTCCAGTCTTCTCATTCCTGCCTCCCCTGTGCAGCCACCTGAGGGCAGTGCTCTTACCTGGCCTCTGCCCCAACTGCCCTTGTGCATAAGACCAGAGCTGTTCTGCCCAGGCACTGCTTCTGGCATCCTCCAAAGACACTGTGCTCAAGGCTCACACAGAGCAGCACCCTTCTGAGCTCAGGGTCCCAAATCCCCAGAAGATCCAGGGAGAAGTGGGTGGAAGACGTTTTCTACACTGGGACCTGGTATCTCATTCTGGGACCATTCTCTGAGCTGCTGTTCCTGTCCCCAGTTCCTTGACGTTTGCCCCCCAGAAACCCTCCTCTCAGACAAACACACATTCCAGCCTCTGTCTCCAGGTTCCCTTTCTCATGCATGTCAATTTCTTCACCCAGGAGACTGGCATTCAGACCATCAGCTCAGCGGATAGAGCTCGACTCAGAGTCCCAGGCAAGGCTCTCAGAGGAAACCTGGTTATAACCACATCGTCTGTGGCCCCTGGAGACCAAGCATCCCACCCTTCCTTTGTGTGGCACAGACAATGCTGTATGCTCCGGAGACCATCTCATTTCTCTTCTGGGCTTACAGGAAAAGTACATTTCCAACTCCATCTAGGTAGGGCTAATAGAATGTGGGCAGAAGGGATGTCCACTACTCTAGGCTTGGGCCATAAAATATCTCCCTGCACGGTCCTTCTCTTTCTTCCCTATTTGGAGGGACCTTGGAAGCATGCATTGGACACAGCAGAGCCCTACTGTGCTTGGATCCTGGGTCTCTGAGTGACTGTGTGGAGAAGAACCCCTACCCTCTGCCCATTGCATTGGTGATGTCAGTGAGCAGTAAACTGTTACTGGTCTAAGCCATCAAGATTGGGGGGTTTGTTTGTTACCACAGCAACACCTGCTTTGCACGGACCCAGACACTGCTGATATGTTTCACCAGATTTAGCTATATCCCGAAGGTTTCTGCAGTGGGTCCTGGAGCTGTGTTCCTGCCTCAGTACCTCCCTTAGAATCTCAGCATCCAAGTCCCTGGTGGGGAAGCAATGCTTTCTCACATTATCAAGATGGAAAAGAATATCACCAGGGAGAACTTCACCAGCCCAGAAAATTGGCCGTTGGTCCCAGGCCTCCAACCCTCATATTTATTCCTAGTATGAGCAGAAACCCTTGCTAAGTTAGGCATCGATTCTCTGTGTGTGACACGCCATAATAACTCCTAACTTGGAGAGTTGGCTTGTTTTCATTCATTCATTCGACAAATGTTTCCTGAACTCATATTCTGTCTGGCCTTCCACCAATATTGATTGGGCCCCTGCTCTGTGTTAGGCAGTGTTTCAGCCCTGCCCTCAGAGAGTTCCCGTGCGTGGAGGGAGAGAAAAGGAAGTAGGATGTGTTGTGGGATAATCAATGTTGGGGGCAAATAAGGCAGAGCTGGGGAGTAGAGAATGATGGCGAGTGTGTGCGTGTGTGTGAACCCTCTGGGACACTGTCCCTCAATCAGAACCAGCAAATGCCAGGGGAGGAGGTCACTGAGGGAGCCCTGGGGAGGCTGGGCCCTGTGGGCCATGGAAAGGGCTAGGCTCTGTATTTTACTCTGAGTGGTTAAGAGCCAACAGAGAGTTCTTAGCAGGGCATGAGATGAGTGGGTTGGAGTTTGAACAGACGGCCGCGTAAGGAACAGGAGGCTCCTGTAATCCCAGTCTTTTGGGAGGCCGAGGTGGGTGGATCACTTGAGGCCAGGAGTTCAAGACTAGCCTGGCCAACATGGTAAAACCCTGTCATTACTAAGAAAAAAAAAACAACAACAGAAGGGCAGGGAAGAGCAGGACTTGAGTCCACGTGGCACCATAGCCTAGGGATGTGATGGGGATGGCTTGGGCCAGGGCAGAGCAGTAGAGATGAAGTGGTTAGATTCTGGAAATATTTTGAAAGGAGAGTGTCAGTCAGGATTGGCTGAGGAATTGCATGGGGATGGGCGGTTCCTGACCTTGGCTCACTGTGACCTCCACTTCTTGGACTCACACAATCCTTCCGGTCAGCCTCCCAAGCAGCTGGGACTACAGATGTGTGCCACCATGCCTTGGCTAATTTTTTTTTTTTACTCTTTGTAGAGATGAGGTCTTGCTATGTTGCCCAGGCTGGTCTTGAACTCCTGAGCTCAAGCGATTTGTCCGCCTTGGCCTCCCAAAGTGCTGGGATTACAGGTGTGAGCCACTGTGCTCAGCCTCACATATATACAATTTTAAATCACAAAATCCTCTTGCCCTCAGCATCCCCCATTGGAGCCCCTACTCTTCCCTGAGGGTCTTCACACAGAGCTTTCTTATCTGAGCCTCCCCTGCCATTCTTTGATGGATACCTCTATCTTTTCCCAGGATTCCTCATTGTCAAGTTCCCATTTGGATAAGGACTCACTTGTTCAGTTCAGAGAGTCCCTGAGCACCTAATAGGTCCTCACTTGCACGTGCTGAATGCGCTGCTAAAAGGAGTCTCGGCTGGGCACGGTGGCTCACGCCTGTAATCCCAGCACTATGGGAGACAGAGGTGGGTAGATCATGAGGTCAAGATATTGAGACCAGCCTGGCCAACATGGTGAAACCCCATTTCTACTAAAAATATCAAAAAAATTAGCCAAACATGGTGGCAGGTGCGTGTAATCCCAGCTACTTGGGAGGCTGAGGCAGGAGAATCACTTGAACCCGGGAGGCAGAGGTTGCAGTAAGCCAAGATCACGCCACTGCACTCCAGCATGAGTGACAGAGGGAGACTCCATCTCAGACAACAACAACAAAGAAGAGTCTCATGCACTCTGGGCTGGCACCTGGCTGGTGCCGGAACCCAGGGCCCCTGACTCCCAGCCTGGGGTTTCCTCCCTGCCTGGGAGCTGGAACAGTAGTGTGTAGAGTGACGGTTTCTGCAGGGCTGGCTGTGAGTCAGGCACTGTGTCACATGCCTGCAGCACGGTCTCATCCTCACAATCACTTTATGAAGCAGCTTCTCTGGGCATCTCCATTTCCACCAGCTGTCTGCCCCAAGCCCACGCTCCTAATGACTTGACTGTGCTGCCAGGCAGGGCTGGTCACGGGGGCAGTGAGAGTCATTTCTGCGGGGCCCTGAGCGGTGGGTACCTCCCTACTCAGGCCCATTTGGTATGGAATCAAGAACAGCAGGACTCTCAGGAGGACCTGACACTCCCTGGAATGAGAACCTGGGACTCTATGCCTTTTCCAGAAAGAAACAGCTCAGCCATGGCTTGGAGGAGTGATCTGTCCAGGAAGAAAGGTCATTCCTCCTCTGGATGACCGTGTGATTGATTTTTTTGCTCCAATTTTTGACGACTTAGGACATACCAAAAAAGAAAAAGGGAACAATAAAACATCTCTCATCACTCAGTGGAAGAGAGAGGATACTACTGGTCTACCCAAGACCCATTTACCCCTTCATATCACGTCTCCTTATGGCAGCCCTGAATGTGATGCTTTCCGTTGCCATGCACATCTTTATACTTGAAATATAAAAGGTTGTAACCCAGCCGGGCATGGTGGCTCATGCCTGTAATCCTAGCAGTTTGGAGGCTGAGGTGGGCAGATCGCCTGAGGTCAGGAGTTCAAGACCAGCCTGGCCAATGTGGTAAAACCCCATCTCTACTAAAAATACAAAAATTAGCAGGGCGTGGTGGTGCATGCCTGTTATCCCAGCTACTTGGTAGGCTGAGGCACAGGAATTGCTTGAACCTGGGAGACAGAGGTTGCAGTGAGCTGACATCGAGCCACGGTACTCCAGCCTGGGCTACAGAGCAAGACTTCATCTCAAAAAAAAAAAAAAAAAAAGATATAACCCTAAGCCTACACAGAGTTGTTTTGTATGCTGTTAATCTTGACATAGGCCAAGTGCAGTGGCTCACACCTGTAATCCCAGCACTTTGAAGGCAGAGGCAGTTGAGGTCGATCACTTGAGCGCTTGAGGTCAGTAGTTCGAGACCAGCCTGGCTAACATGGTGAAACCTTGTCTCTACTAAAAATGCAGAAGTCAGCTGGGGACATACACCCGTAGTCCCAGCCACTTGGGAGGCTGAAGCAGGAGGATAGCTTGAACCTGGGAGGTGGAGGTTGCAGTGAACCCAGATAGTACCACTGCACTCCAACCTGGGTGACAGAGCGAGACTCTGTCTCAAAAGGAAAAAAAATAAATCTTGACATAAACGTCGTCCTTTATCTATCCCCCTATAACTTACATTCTGTGCTGTATTGGTGAGAGGCATCTGTGCTTATACGTGCAGCTCAAGTTCATTTTCACTACTGTAGCATATTCTATTGATGGGTGTCATAATTTGCCCATTCTACTAATGGCTATTTTCCTTGCAATAAACATTCCATTAGGCGTCTCCTTTACAAGATATTTCTCCGGAGGATTTCTCAGAAAGTTCCCCCAAACAGACTATGAAAGCTTCAACTTCTAATTTATTTATTATTACAGTGGCGGCTCTTAGGATTTAACTTGTTTTCGTTGCACATAACATATAGAGCAGACATGTCTCTGCATCCCCTGGGTCCTGTCCTCTATCTGAGGGTGTGTATGAGTTTCGATTTGGGGATGGGGTGAATCACAGGCATACTTGCTGTCTATGTTATTTGGTCGTAAAACACGGCCTTTCCAGAATGTCACAGACAGGGTCTTCATCTTTAACTTTAAACTGTAGCTGAAGATGAAGTCACAGAGGTTAACGCACTTGGGTGGGGTAAGGAGTCAGGGGAGCAGGATCTTGAAGGAAGGTGGGGTGGCTGAAAGGGGGTGAGTCTCTCTGAGGGCTGAGTGCAGGCCACCTCATGCAGCTCTGTGTGGCTTGCAAAACAATCGTCTGGGATTCTTAGGTGTGGACTCCTTGTGTGATGGACGGGGATGGGAAGTGTGTT